ACTTACTAAAAACCTAATAAAAAACTTGAAAGTAAAAACGTTGAAAACGTAAACTACCTTAAAAATAAAACTTGGTAATACTACTAAGTCTAACCTAACTACTAACTTCCCTAACTACTTTAAGTACTACTTACCTTTCAATTTTTTCCCGAAGGTAAACCTATTACTACTTCGTACTTTTTCGAACGTTTTACCAAAACTTCACTTTACNNATTCGAAGATTTGCTCTACAATCAAGTTGTGGATAAGCTTCACTCTACATTAAAGTTGGTTTTACGTTGAATTTCATAATGAAACTCGAGGAAGATGAAGTTTCGGAATTGTATTACGATCGTATGATAAAGGTACCATAATTGTATCTGAGTTGTATTTGATACATCAATACCTAAGACAATTCCGATACAATACTAATACTATTAAAATATAATATTGTATTATAATTTAAGTTTAGAGTTGGTTCTAGGTGGATATTTTAAATTGAAACTTGAAAAAGGTGAAGATTAAAGTTGTATCATAATTTAGAATTGTATCACAATTTGTACCTAAAACAATACATGATACAATACTAATACAAGTATAATATGATATTGTATCAGTTTAAGTTTAGAGTCGGTTTTAAGTTATCATAATTGTATCAAAATTGTGTAAGAATTCTTTTAGGATTGTATCAAATTTGTATTTGAATTATGAGCAGTTGTGAGATCGTGACGAATTTCACAGTTTGTATCACAAATACATGATAATTATATATTAATTTATTAGTATTGTATCAGGTATTATTTTGGATATTACTGTACCATCTACAAGTTATATACAATTGTGATACAAGTATGAAACAATTACATTTTACGTATCGATGTATCTGATACAATTTAAATACAATTATGATACATTTATCATACAATTCCTGAATATTTCTTCATTTTCAGTGTTGTCCGGTCTCCCAGCAAAAGAACGATGCAATTGATGATTTAATAATATAAAATAATCGGCAATGGTGGGAAGAGAGAAGATGGAGATTCTGGGCGTAGATTAAGGAATTTTGTTGTAAAAAAAAGGAGAGAGAAGATGAGAGGGGAAAAAAGGAAAGGATATAATTGAATCCCTTAATTAAAGGTAATAATAATGGAGTGGGAGCCATTTAAGGAGCAATCTATACAATTTGTAAGAAAAACCTAGATACATATTAAAAACTACAAAACATAGAGATCATTAATAAATAAGTTTTTAATATAGTATAACTAGGTAAAAGTGCCTAAAAAATATACTTTTCATCCAACAAGCGGTTTTGACCAAAAATAAACACGACCCAATAAGCTATTGCTCTTTAGTGAAGTAGTAGTTGAAACCAACAAAATAATAGAAGTATTAAATCAACAACAAGAAGAAAGATAATGTAAAAATTTCCATTGACTAGGGGGGTGGTTGGAGAAAAGGGGACCAGACAGCAAGCAAATAGGATTTTTGTAGTGACAAAACATGCTCTGTTACTGTTATTTAATTACAGATCTATTCATCAGAGGTACAGCTGTACGGCAAAGATTACGGCAGACAGTCTTCTGGGAATGCGGCTTCTTCTTACCGGCTGTTTAAACGGCTTTTCCCCCACATGCCTTCTCTACCCCCACGCCTCTCCTTACTCAATTATAGTAGAATTTTTAGAGCCCGTTTGGATGGGCTTGTTTTAAGTGGCTTTTAAGTCAGAATAACTTTTAAGCCATAAGTTAGGAATTTTAATTTTTGGCTTGTTTTTATCATTTTAGCTTAAAAACAAGTGCTTAAAAGCACTTTTTTACTTTATCCAAACACTGAAAAATGGCTTAAAAGCTATTTTGGCTTAAAAACACTTAAAACAAGCCAATCCAAACGGGTTCTTATTCACTAAATACGGTTAAAATTGAACATTAAGGGGTCGTTTGGTTTGTATACGGTTTTTGCTGGATAAGTTATGCTGGGATTAGTTATCCTGGTATTATTCTTTATTCATTGTTTGGTATGTTGTATTAAAAATGACAGTTGCATAATTTCAAAGACGAAGGTATAAGTTATCCCGGCACTAATTACCCCACCCTCTACAAGGTATAAGTTATTCCGGTACTAATTTTAATCCCAGTATAACTTATACCAGGTTTGCTAACCAAACAAAATATTAAGGTGGTATTAATATTTTATACCAGCACTATACCTTCTTATACCTCTGACCTCATACCAAACGACCCCTAAGTAATTGGACATTAAAAAAATATGAATAATTTATGCGATATACCCGTTGAAAACACCTGTTAATATCATATACAATGAGAATATTTATTTTGCCTGTATTCCAAGTAGAATATTTGGAGATGTTTCAGAAGATTTAAAAGTATAATGTCTAATATTTTAGGATATTTGATGTAATTTCAATACTTAGGTATATCATGAAAGTGAGTTTTATAAATTAACTTCCCCAAAAATATTAGGTTTAAAAAAATATACTTTCAACAACAACAACAACAACAGCCTAGTGAAATCCCACAAGTGGGATTTGGGGAGGGTAGTGTGTACGCAGACCTTACCCCCTACTCCGGAGGAGTAGAGAGGATGTTTCCGATAGACCCTCGGCACAATAAGATGAAACGAGACAATGTAGCAGTAACAACAAAGGAATCCAGAAAGATAACACCAACAACATACTAACCAGAAAATAGAGAGTCAAGTAATAACACTACGCAGTAACAATGGAACAGTACCACAGACGCGATGTAATACTAAGGACACAACAAGAGCCACCAACATCCTAGTACAAAACACTTCCAGACTAGCTTCCTATAACCTAACCGACAACCCTAATGAAGTACTAAGGACACAACTGGAGCCATTTAGCAGCCTGAAACAAAACACTATCAGACTAGCCTCCTATCCCCTAACCTACAACCCTAATGCTCGATCCCCACAACTTCCTATCAAGGGCCATGCCCTCGGAAATCTGCAGTCGTGCCATGTTCCACCTAATCACCTCTCCCCAATATTTTTAGGCCGTCATCTACCTCTCCTCATAACCTTCAAGGCCAGGCATTCACACCTCCTTACCAGGGCATCCAGGCTTCTCCTCTGCACGTGCCCAAACCATCTAAGCCTAGCTTTCCGCATCTTGTCTTCCATGGGAGCCACGCCACCTTCACCCGAATTTCTTCATTCCTAATCTTATCCAACCGAGTGTGCCCGCACATCCATCTCAGCATCCTCATTTCCTTAACTTTCATCTTTTGGATATGGGAATTCTTGACTGGCCATCACTCTGCACCATACATCATGGCTGGCCTAACCACCATTCTATAGAACTTACCTTTAAGTTCCGGGGGCACATTCCTGTCATACAAGATGCCAGATGCTAGCCTCCATTTCATCCACCCCACCCTATACAGTGCGTGACATCCTCGTCAATCTCCCCATCCTTCTGGATAACCGGGCCCAGATACCTGAAGCTCCTTTTCATGGGGATGACTTGAGAGGCAAGCCTCACCTCAATGTCCGCTTATCCCGACATGCCGCTGAACTTGCACTCCACGTATTCTGTCTTAGTCGTGCACAACTTCAAACCCTTAGACTCAAGGGTCCGTATCCAAACCTTCAACCTCTCGTTAACACCGCCTCGTGTCTCATCAATCAGAACTATATCATCAGCGAATAACATACACCACATCACCTCCTCTTGAATATGGTGTGTTAGTGCGTCCATCGTCAGAGAAAATAAGAACGGGCTAAGCGCAGATCCTTGGTGTAACCCCATAACAATCGGAAAATGCTCCGAGTCACCCCCACTATCCTAATCCGAGTCTTAGCTCTATCATACATGTCCTTAATCACCCTAGTATAAGCCACTAGAACACCTTTCACCTCCAGGCATCTCCAAAGGACTTCCCTAGGGACCTTGTCATATGCTTTTTCCAGGTCAATAAACACCATATGCAAATCCTTCTTCTTAACCCCGTATAGTTCAACCAACCTCCGAATAAGATGGATAGCTTCCGTGGTAGAACGACACAGCATGAACCCAAACTGGTTATCGAATATTGACACCAACCTCCTCACCCTCACTTACACTACCCTCTCCCACACTTTTATGGTATGACTTTGTAGCTTGATGCCCCTATAGTTGTTATAATTCTGGATATCGCCTTTGTTCTTGCGTATCGGCAACTCCACCTCCATTCCTCTGGCATCTCCTTCGTCCCGGAGATAACATTAAACAATCCAGTTAGCCAATCCAATCTTGCTCTACCTACATACCTCCAAAATTCTACCGGAATTTTGTCTGGCCCGGTCGCTTTGCCCTTGCTCATCTTACTCATAGCCTCCACGACCTCCTCGACCTTAATTCGCCTACATTATTCAAAATCTTGGTGACTCTTAGAGTGTTGCAGTTCACCTAGCACAATGCCTCTGTCCCCTTCATCATTCAACAGCTTATGAATGTACGTCTGCCATCTCCACTTAATCTGAGCGTCTTCCATCAACACTTTACCTTCCTCTTCCTTGATGCACCTCACTTGGTCTAGATCACGAGCAGTCCTCTCTCTCTCACCTTGGCCCGAAACAACTTCTTGTCCCCGCCTTTGTCCCCTAGTTCTTCGTACAGGCGACCAAATGCTGCATTCTTAGCTTCTGTGACCGCTAACTTCGCCACCTTCCTAGATTCCTTATAACCATCTTTGTTCAACCACCTCCCCTCCTCATCTAAATTCTGCCCCAACCTCCAGTGCGCCTCTTTCTTTTCTTCCACCTTTCCCTGGACCTCGACGTTCCACCACCAGTTGCCCCTGTGACCGCCCGAGTAACCCTTCGAGACCCCTAACACCTCTCTCGCCGCCTCACTTATACAGTTCGCCATCATTGTCCACATACCATTTGCATCCCCACTACTCCCCCAGACCCCTATAACTAACAACTTTCCCTCCAGCTCTTGAGTTGTATCCTTCGACAAGGCACCCCACCTAATCCTCGAACGACCTCGAACCACCTTATTCTTCCTCTTTATCACGATGTCGGTGTCCATCACCAAGACGTGTGCTGAGCCGCAAGTGTCTCACCGGGATAACCTTGCAATTCTTGCACAACCCTCTATCACACCTCCATAGGAGGAGATAATCAATCTGAGTCCTAGCCACCATACTCTGAAAAATAACCAAATGCTCCTGCCTCTTAGAAAAACTAGAGTTTGAAATCATCAACTCAAAAGCCTTAGCGAAATCCAACAGAGAAGTACCACCTCCGTTCCTAACCCCAAAGCCAAATCTGCCATGAACCTCGCCATAGCCAATAGCAGAAGCCCCGATATGCCCGTTGAAGTCCCCTCCTATAAATAACTTCTCCGTGGGCGGAATACCATGCACCACTTCATCCAAACCCTCCCAAAAACACCTCTTAACCTCTTCATCCAAGCCCGCTTGGGGAGCGTAAGCGCTAATGACATTCAGAGTGAGCCCTCCACTAACTTAATAGCCATCAATCTAGCACTCACCCGCCTAACCTCAACCATCGTCTCCCTAAGATCCCTGTCCACCAAAATAGCCACTCCGTTCTTATCCTTCGAGCGTCCAGAGTACCACAGTTTAAACACATATGCATTCTTCGCCTTCGATCCTACCCACCTAGTCTCCTGAATACAAGCTATATTGACCTTTCTCTTCTGGAGAATCTTTTCCAACTCGATAGACCTACCCGTTAACGTCCCTATATTCCACGACCCAATTCTCAACCTATATGCACCCTTGCCCCCTGCCCCTGCCCTTCCCCCCACCCCATCCAAGGACATGACTTATTCTGCTATCATATACCACAGCCACTATACCTACGTAGACAAAGGAAAATCACTAACACAGAACAAGTGACGAACCAAACTCGAAGAAAATAGTTATTTGCAACTACATTCCTGGTAATATCATGACTAGGCTAGTATCGACCAATATGGAAACAACAAGCTAACACAAGAGGAAGGGAAAACAGAGAACAGGAAATACCAACTCCCGAGAATATAACCTGGATCCGTGTACACCGGAGACTGAGGAACCTAGTGACCCACTAACCTAGCAGCCCTGGATGTCCACTTACACGACGCCGGAGCAGGCACCGACAAAGGCAACCGTTGACAAGACCAAAAAAAAAACAGTCGCAAGGAGGAGAAGAAGAAAAATTAAAATTATGTTTAAGCATATATTTCACTTGAAAAAAATATTATATAATTTTGTGAGAGGAAAATCTTGTTTACTTAACAAAGAGGTAAAAAATACTTTTTCAAATTTAAAACTCATCTTTAAATTTGTTTGGAAACTCGTCTTCAAAAAATAAATAAATTGTATAGCAAAAAAAAGTTTTGAAGTTGAGTTTCAAATTAAAAAAAAAACAATTCGCATAGACAAACGGGTCCGAAGTATTACTTCATTAGTAAATACTTCCTCCGCTCACTTTTACTTGTCAATAATATACTTTGCACTTCTCTCAAGAAATAATAAATAAAGTATATATATTTTTTTTTACAAAAATATCCATAATAATGAAAACATTTCAAAAAGTCTTTGGAAATGATTTACGGAATGAAGGTTAATGACAATGGTAAAACATATCTTTTTTTATCTTTTTCTTGATTTACTAAAACATACGAGTAAAAGTAAAAATATTTTTTTAGTATGGTGAAAAAGTAAAAATAAATGGAGAGAGTATAACAACAACATGATTTGAGCTGTTCAAATCTAAGACATCTCGGGTTTTTTGTACTCATTTCGTCCAAGTTTACTTGTCCATATTAATTTAACATACTCTCTCCGTTCACTTTTACTTGTTCACTATTCTTAAAAGGCGAAATTACCTAAGGGCCACTTAAACTTGTAGCCGTTTGTAATCTTGGTATATAAACTTATGCATTTCCCATCTTAGCATCTTAACTCATATATTTGCACACTAATAGACATATATGATTGTGTGTGGTCCTCAAGCGCATATGTCACATACTTATTCTCTTATTAATTGTCATGTGTAATTTATGGGTCTCACTTTATAAAAAATTAGTTTACTCACAAAAGTTTTATTTTCCGTCCATTCTCTTCGTCTAGGACGACACCGAGCCACCATTTCTCACAGTAAATCCAGCATTTTCAATCGTAAGAATTCAAATTTGATCCTTCAAATTCTAATCAAACCTCAGTAAAAAAAAGCCTAAAAATAGTTATAACACTCTCGAAAAGACCCCCAAAATTACTCCGGCGAGATTGTCGCCGGTAAAAATGGCAACCATACAAAGAATCACCCAAAACCATCACTGCTCACCTTTTTGCCACCGGCCTACCACCTTCTCTAGAACTTTATTTTCTTCGCCTCCTTTTCAACAAGCTCACTAACAATAGACCAAATAGATCTGAAACGCCACAATTTCAATTTCATTACTCTTTGCGACCAAATTTTTTTTAAGAGAGAGAGAGAGAGAGAGAGAGAGAGAGAGCAATAACCAAATCGATATAATTTTATGGTTGTGGAGGAGTTTGAGGGTGTGGGAAAACAGAAGGGAGGGAGGGGAGAGGAAGCTAGGAACATGAACATGAACATGAATGAAAAATTAAACAGGGGAGGGTTTTCTTCATTTTTTATCTTTTCTTTATTTTTTTCCATGATTTTATCTTTCTTTTTCTATTTTATAATTTTTTAATCAAATTCATCCATTCACGCGCCTAATTAACGTGATTTGCATGCATTTTGTCCACGTCAACTATACCGTCGCTGTGTAAGCATGGTCAACGGTCAAACATGTTTATTAATACTCAATTCATCAAGTAAAGGTGCTCAATGAAAAATGTGTACCTTTATATACCGGGATGACAAGTGGTGCAAGTTTAGGTGGCCCTTAGGACATTTTGCCTTCTAAAACTAGATTTTTAATTTACTTGTCCACTTTCGCATATCAAGATAAAAATAATTTACTTTTCATGTTTTACTCTTAGCATTAATTACTCATTCCAAATTATTTTTCAAATTCATTAAGCCTATACACCAATTAATATGGGTACCTAGCAAATTATGCACTTTATTTATTTCTTAAGAGGTGTGCAAAGTCAATAGTGGACAAGTAAAAGTGAACGGAGGAAATATGATTATTTTAATATATCACCCTATTTATTATTATTGAAAAACTAATTTCGACTATTACAAATCCAAAATATTAGGAAATGATTAGGATAAAATAGGTATAAATGGGTAAATTATACGTTAATTTTTCAAATTGGGCAAATAAGTATGGACATTTGTTTTAAGTATACTGGACAAATAAACTTAGACGGAAGGAGTATTTTCTTTTTCTCCTATATTCAAAATTAGAGCTTCTTTTCATGAGAGTAACTCGAATGAATTTGGGGAAACGAAACCGGCCAAGAGAGAAAGAAAGTACCAAAGACCCGAGATCTCTTAAGTTTGGTAGACTTACATCAAGTTCCCGTTAAATTTAGCTAACTAACACTATTTGGTAGATTAAAAATGATTAACAAATTTCAAAGAACGGTAAATTCTCAAATATTATATTTAAAGGACGATTTTATCCAAACATAATAAATTATTATTTTTATCATTTTCTATAACTTTATTACTACAAATGGTTTTGCCGTCCAAAAACAGGATGGGAGATAGCCCCTATTACATTGATCAAGACATGGACCAACCTATATAAGAGCAGACCTAACTTTTAGAATCCTCGTTTGGACTGGTTCAGAGAAGGTACATCTTTCCTTCTCAAGGTTTCAAATTTATCCCTCTGCTCGCTTCAGTACAAGTTATATTCCCCAAATACTTTTTTTTTTTTTTAGCTTCAACTCATCATTTTTTGAAGAATTCTGCATCCATAAGTATACAGCCTGCAAAGTTGATGTTACTTTACTATCGGAGATTTTACGGTGTTGTTCTCATTTCCGATTACATTAATTTATTTGTCTCTTATTTTTTTCTCGGAAAGGGGCCAAAACTATCTCTGTCATTTGCTAAATGGTTTATAAATACCCTCCGTTCAAAAAAATACACTCCGTCCATCGATCCGTCCAAAAAAACACACGAAGTTAATTCTATTAACAAAAATATCCCCGCGACTAACGGCAGAACTGATGGAGTGTGTTTTTTTGAACGGATAGATGGACGGAGGGTATTTATAAACCATTTAGCAAACGATAGGGATGGGTCTTTCATTTAATGACGTGACAATTTTTAATTGGGCCACGTGGCATTATTGGCCAAGAATCAAATATGGGTCTTATTTTTACCCATTTACCTGGTCCGACCCTATTTATTTGACCCGCCTAATTATTTTTTTTTCTTTTTTTTTTTTGCTTTTTTTCCCTCTCTTTTTGACCCATTTACCTGGTCCCCCTCTTCTTCTTCTTATGAACATCCCAAAGGTAACCCTTTACTTTTTTTACCTTTTATAGATTCAATCTTTATCCTAGAATGTGATAATTTCAAGCTTTTTAGCACCTTGGTTTCAATTTTCTTGTGTGCTTGTATCAGTTATATGTAGTTGTTTTTTCTCTGTTATTTCGTGGCTCTTTTGTCTTCTTATGAACAATCCGAAGATTTCCATTACTTGTCCCTTTCAAAGTTTCAATATTTCTCCTATATTTGATTGATATATTTGGACAATTTTAGCATTTGGTCTCAATTTTTTTGTTTCAGATTTTTAGTTTGTTTTGATCCTTGTCTTCTTACTTAACAACCCAAATGTATCTGTTGATTTTCCATTTAAGAGTTTCAATACTTATCCTGAGTTTGATTGGAGAAATTTCAGAATCTGGTTTGAATTTCAGGTTATTTGATTTTGGGTTTTATCTATTCTTTAATTAATTTGTTATTGTGTGTATGCAGTGTCCCAATTGGAGAAGAAGAAAGGGGGAGATCAGATGAGTGAGAATGGGTGTGATAGATACTACCCATTTTTGTAAATGGTCGGATAAGGTAAATGGGTTGAACTAATATCCATTTTTTGTTCCAGTCAAAGATTGCCACATGGCCCAATTAAAAATCGCCACATCATTAAATGAAAGACCCATCCCTATCGTTTGCTAAATGGTTTATAAATACCCTCCGTCCATCTATCCGTTCAAAAAAATTCACTCC